AAGCAGCGCGTCTTTGCCGAGCAGCTTGATTAATGCAGCGCGCCGGGAGCGCGGGGCTCGCGGTACACGCTGTAAACGATGTCGAACGACGCGACCGACAGCGAAAGACAGAAAAGCCGCCTCGCGCCCACTCCCGAGCCGTCGCTGCTCGGTGCGCGCTGGTGCTCCGAAAATTCCCAGTGGCGAGCTGGTGCTCTCCTGATAGGTCACTCGATAGCTCGCTCGTTTCCTTCGGCCGCGCTCAGCCTAGCCGAATAATCGGTTTTCCGAGTAAGCGACCAAGCGGCCGCATACTGGCTGCCAGACGCGCTCGGCCTCGGCGCTTTATGGACCGTGCCGCTCGGATAATAGCCTGCTGCTCCTCCTCGCCGGCACGGGCTCGCGATCCCGCCTTTAATTGCTGCTAATGAAAGTGTTGATCAACCGACGTATTCATTGTCCGAGCAAAAATAAGGCCAATTACCGATAACCATCGTGGGCTCCTTCGCACAGCTCTGACGTTAACCTGCACTCGCGGCGTCGCTCGAGCGAAACCAACTGGAGGCAGCCCGCCGGAGCCAGCGAGTGGCTGCCGATTATCGAGCGTCGCGCGGCATTTCGATACGGGGATACGGGGATACGGGGATACGGGGATACGGGGATACGGCGATACGGAGAGAGAGGCGGAGGGAGAGAGAGCCGAGAGTGCGACGTCCGTCAGTCATTCCACTCGTACCTGGAATCCAAGCTAAAGCCATAATTAGCACTTGGCACAGCGCAGAAAAAGCACGAGCGAGCACTCGCAATTAAGTAACGGGGGGCAACGTTCGGTGCTCCGTGCACAGCTGTACGGTAGCTGTAGGCGCACGCACTGGCGCGCGGCCTTGACTGAATTCGAAGTTCGGCGTCGGCCGGCACTGGAATGCCATTGTGCGATCCCATAATCGAGAGTTCGGCCTTTGATAAACGAGCCGGGCATCGATCATTGGCCGAGAGGTGCGCAAGCTCGGGCAGCCGCGAAACGAGAGCGAAAGAGCGGCATTGATCGACAGCCCGGCGTCGGTCGATTCGAAAAATTTGATCCTCCGCTGCTTAATTGTTCGCGGGCATCCAGCAGCCTCGGGCGAGAGTCACGGCTTGGGAATCCCTGCTCGACGCCGAGCTGGCGAGCTGGCCGCCGGCTCGCCTGCCGCCATTCGGATCAGAGTCCTGTCGGATTTAATTGACATCATCATTATTATGATTATTTGCGTGCGCGCTGCCAGCCAAAACAAACAGCGCGCCAGCCAGTCGACCAGCTATCTCTTTTCGGCGTCTGCGATCGCGCCGCGTTACGAGGCCTGGCGGCCCCTGGCGCGGGACAATGCCACGTTGGACGCGTGGACGCGATCGGGGTCGGCCGCTCGAAGGCGAAAGCTGCGACCGCAGCGTTGCCTCGTGTCACGCGATACTCTTTTATTATTCGCGCCTTTGTCGTTTTGGTACGCCTTGTCACTTGCGCGTGTACCCCGCAAGCTCCCCGCCAAGTCGCCGACTCGCGAGAAGAGCCGCGCTCGACGAGTCAATCTGTTCCGGGTGCGGCTTCACAGGCTGCGACCCACGGGGAGAGCTTTTTGTTAGGCTTGCCGATCAGTGGCGTATAATCGGCTCGCCCGGGCTTTCGTCGGCTCGTCAGAGATGCCGCGGCTAGAGAGAAGGCAGAGAAGGAAGAGAGCGAGGAAGCGAGGAAGCAAGGAAGAGAGGAGGGAGGCAGGAGGGAGGCGCGGCATCCATATCAAATGCTAATTAAACGGGTGTCGGGCGTATTAAGGTACCTAATGGCTGAGAGCAATGGGTGCAAAACGAGCGCTCGCTTTAGTTTTGCGAGTAACAGAGAGAGAGAGAGAGAGAGAGAGAGAGAGAGAGAGAGAGAGAGAGAGAGGGAGAGAGAAGGAGAGAGAGCTCGCGGAGAGAGCCTAATGTATGCCAGGGGGCTAGCACGGTGGTCTGGCTGGCGCGCCGGTGTGGGTGGTCCGCGTCCTCCCTGCCAAGCCGTGCTCCGCTCTTTCGCTCTTTCTCTCTCTCTCTCTCTCTCTCTCTCTCTCTCTCTCTCTCTCTCTCTCTCTCTCTCTCTCTCTCGCTCACTCGCTTCGCGTACGCGCGCGCGCACGTACACGTGCACACTTGCGCGTGCTTCTCGCGGTAAGCTCCCATAAGCTCAAAGTGCGTGCAGCCGCTTCGCGCTGCTTACTGGCTGGCTACAACTCGACTCGTGTCCCATATAGCACTGCTTAGCGCTCGCGGCCTCTTTTAATTTCGTCCGCTCTCTCGCTCTCTCGTGCGGCCTGTCTCCTTGCTGCTCCTTTTCGATTCGAGCTTTTCGAGCGGCAACCGCTGATTTTACGGGCCGATTAGTAACGAGCGCCTCGATTATAGGCCCTGAGCCTCTCTTGCAAAAAACGACGAGCACGAAGCAGCCCGCGTAACATAGCTTTTTCGCGCGCTTAATGTCTCTATCGCATCGGGCCTCCTGACTGCTCTGCTGCCAGGCCGCGCCAGGCGGTTTAGTGAATGACGTATCGCGCGCAGGGCCTTATCTGCAGCAGCGGCTGGCTCCTTGCCTATAATCGGAAAACCAAGTCGCTACTACTGGTCTTTCACGGTCCACTGCTGTCTCGGAGCGATGCGTCACTGGTCTGGCCGTCATCGATAACCGAGCAATACCGAAAGGGCCGACTGAGTCACAACGCGCAGGCAAAGGCAACAGCGAAGTGGCGGAGGACAATAGGTCGGAGGTTTCGCGAGCGTCGAATAGCTTGACGGCTGCGGCGGCGGAGAAATACGCGAGCTCTGAATGTATCGTGTGTGGCCGATCGCGTATCGCTCAATTGAGCGAGAGAGAGAGAGAGAGAGAGAGAGAGAGAGAGAGAGAGATAGAAGGAGCGGGCGCTCGCTCGCTCGGTCGCGCTAAAAGACCGAAAGAACCGGTCAGCCGGCAGCACCGCCAGCCGCCGGCCCGGCCAGCCGCCAGTCTGCCGATCCGCTTACGGTTTTGACTTTTGACGATTCAATAGCGCGCTCGCTAAACGGCTCCACGCGAGCGCGCATTTTTCCCCCCACCGCGACCTGCAGCGAACAAGCTTTGCTCGCGAGCTGCTTAAAAATAGCCAGCAGGCGTTTCGCTGAGCCGAAGAGAGCCGCTTTATTAATGCCGGTGACGAGGACAAATTAGTGGCGAGCCGCGATACCATACGTGTTAATTTTAAGCAGAACTGGACTGCTGGCGCTGCCGTCGCGTGGCGTAGTAGTCGTAAGTGGCTATCTCGTAAAAAGCATGATAAAACGTGCCCTCGGCTGCGTGGCAGCAGCTCCGCCAAGCAAAGGGACAATTACATAAATTGCCTACTTGCGCAAGAACAAGCAGCGGCGCGCATCGAGACCGCGACTTCTTTATTAACGCGCGCGCGCACTTCTTCATTGGCTATTTTTGCATGACTTTCTCCGCGATTATTTGTTTACAGTTAGAGGCTCGGCTCGGCTCGGCTCGGTTCGGCACGGCTCGACTCGACTCCCAGAACAACGGACTGCCTGTAGCTCCGCCGCGCCACAAATATTATAAGAAACAGACTGGCGCTCAATAAAACTTAATTGTGCATTAAATTCCAGCTGCGGAATCAGCGGGGAGCAATTAATTACCTCCCGTTCGCCGCTCGCCGCTCGCCGCTCGCTGCTCGGCCGTTCGCCGTTCGCCGTTTGCCGTTTGCCGTTTTTCAGCCGGAAAATCTCTCTCATTGTGCGCTCGACGCGTCGCGCAGTCGCACAAGCTTGGCGGCGCAGCGCCTAATAAACAATAAGCAAGCGGAAGCTGCTTCCATCCGCGGCATTCCTCCTTGCGCGTACGTGCATGTAATAAGCCGCGAGGCCACGCGGCAGTTTATCGGCAAAAAGAAAGCCGGATGCAAGCGCGCCGCGCCAGAGACGCGGCCAATTGGCGTGCCTGCGCCCATCGCTTCGAGCCCCGGCCAACTGTAATGGCTCGGCTGACAATGCCACTCGCGAGCGTCGCGGGCGCTTCTTCGGGCCGCGCGCCTCTTATATTTTTTCGCTGACGAGGCATAACTTACGAGCGATGCCGCATATGCGTGCGCGCCGCGATCGGACGGCGAGCGAGACCGAGAGAGAGAGAGAGAGTCAGACAGACAGAGCGCGAGAGAGCGAGAGAGCGAGAGAGCGAGCGAGAGAGGAGCCGCCGCCGCGCGTAATGAAGACGTTTCTCTAGGTTAGGGGGACTTTGACGTTTTTATGGCCCAGGCCCGACTGCCGGCCTTGCTCCCGACTTCTTTTTCCCGTTGGTCCGCGAGTCCAGCGCACTCGGCCAATACCAGCACTGCCGACGACCACGCGAGCCGAGCGCCGAGCTCTGGCTGGACGCGCGCTCCAAATGAACGATCAGCTTGATTTAGATAGAGGCTCCAAAGCGGCGTCATTTATTCGGATTACGAGGCGCAGTAGCTCGCCCAGGCGGTCGACTGCTCGAGATAAGCAACTGACACAGCTTCGAGGAATGCCGCGGCGGCTTTGGCGGCCGGCCGATTTGAGCTACGACGACAAGCAGCATCGCTTTCATTAGCGCTCGAAAATTGACTGGACTACGCGTGCTCGGCGCGCCGGTAGCCGCTCTCCCATGGTGGTCCACGAGCTCGGCTGCGCCCTCGCTCCTCGTTGACACCTTACCAGCTGCGTGTGTCGAGCCGCATCGCGCCCGCCGACAGATTATTGCACGCGCGAGACGCCGGAGACGGGCCAGCCGCTCGCACGGCTTTAACTCAAGAGCCGGCCGACGTGCATCGTCCGCGGAAGCGGTTTTATGGATATTGCATTCCCACGGCCTCCCTGGCTACTCGCAACTAAACTTTTCGCCGCTCCGACGCCGGCGCGACTGGCTGATTCATCCCCGCGCGAGAGCTCGTGCTTCTTGCTCTTCTGCGCCTTCCTCCCGTCCTTGTTGCCGGCCGCCGCCTCGGGGGGGCCTTACTCGGCAGAGTCGGCATCGACGATTCCCGTTTTTCCGATCGCCCGATATCTCACTCGAGCCGGCGCGCCGGACGGATCGCCGTGGAGTCCTCCTCCGACAAGCGGCTCGGCGATTAGCCGATCGAGCGAGCAAAGTCGAGTGCGCGGCGTGCTGGGACTCGTCCGCCTCTTTGGCGCACCTTGCACGGCTCAATCGAACCCGCGGGCGGGCGTCGGCCGACGGGGCGGCCAGCGCTGCCGACCAACGAGTTCGCTAGTCTGCTGCACGGCCGTCCGTGCATTGCGATGTTTATAGGGCTCAGTGGACGTTGATGGCTGCACGCCGGGGCTTTGAGGCCGGGCGCTCTCGCGCGTTGCCGCGGTCGTTGCGGTCGTTGCGATCGTTCGCGGCGCTGATCGACGACTAGGAGTCGGGGGGTGGGGTGGGGGGGGGGGCTGCTTGACTGACGGGGGAGGCAGTCAGGTAGCGAGAAACCAATGGATAAACACACCGGCTAAGGCGCTAAACAGCTCGAGAGCCGGCCGCGGCCGGAGCGCTTTCCGCGGGCCGCGCGCGCTCGCGCTGCCCGAGCTAGCTGGCTGCAATCAGTGTAAGTCATTGCGAGGAAGAGCTGCGCCCACGCCGCCGCTAGCCGTCTATTACTCACGATTATTGGCCGCGCGCCACTCGCGAAAAAGCCCTTCTCGCTGCTCTCAAATTATACACATTCCCCGAGTGCACCGCGTGACCGAGAGCGGCCCTTTATTCTCCTATAAACAATTGCGAACGTGCCGTTCGTTGCGCCCATGCTATTTGCATATTATTATTTGCGGCCGTAGCGAGCCGAGCTTCGCGGGCCCATTTTCTTTTACGAGCTTTAGCGCCGAATACGCGCCTAATGACGTATGTTCAAGCGCGGAATAGCCGCGCGCCGCTCGCTCTGCCCGGCTCGTTTGCAAAATATTCTCGTTATTAGCGCGATTATTCAGATTTTTATGGCCCACGGCTCGATCGACGCTCGTTCAGTTTTATTATTTCATTAAAATATGCCGACGGCGCAGCGCTCTACGCACAACGGATGATCATTGCCTGGGATCGGAGCGCGCGCGCCGTCTATAGCTTCATCCACGCAGCTTGCGCGGCTCTCGCAAGTCGTCGGACGCTCGGCTGTAATTAGAGAGCGAGCGGCACCTCGCGAGCCGCGAGATTGGGCCAACGCGTCCGCTGCGTGGCTCGCTCGCCGAGTCGCTCGTTAGTCGCTCTGCGTGGCGGCCGTCGTGTTCTCGTCGAAACCGACTAATCGCTCTGTCGCAACGCGGCGATGAGCAGCTGCGCGCCTCGCGACTCGTCGTGGGGCTGCCTCGCGCGTGCACACCAGCCGAGAAATTAAGCGATTTGCAGCGGTGCGTGCGCGCAGCCTCGTTTCCGCGCTTACACGCCCATCCGCGCCCGAAGCGCTCGCAGATTAATCTTGGCAGACGCGCGCTTTCTCCCGCGCGCGCGTCTCGCGGCCGTCAGTCGAAGATCTGCCGATCTTTAGATCGACGCGTCTTTCCAACCATTTCCAACTTTCTCGGGGTCAGTCGAAAGGCCCACATGCGGAGTCGAAGAGACGATCTCTTGTGGCGGTGACCGTCGTGTCCCCTTTCGCGAGCCGCGCGCGAGCGTTGCCAGTTGACAAGAACAGCCACTGTCTGGATGTTTTGGCGTGCAGTGACGCGACAACGAGGCAAAGTGCGCGCGTTGGTGGTCCGCGCGGCGATTCCAAACAATGAATTTACTTCATAAATCTCAATTCAGAATGCCTCGCACTCTCCAGCCCAATTAAACTTAATGTCGCCCAACACACAGGCCTCGGCTCTCTCTCTCTCTCTCTCTCTCTCTTTCTCCGCCTCGCCCTCCTCCTTAGCCTCGCTTTACTTGACTTTCTCCGCACGCGCGGACTAGAGACTAGCGTGTTTGCCCTCTGGCAGTAATGTCGCCAATCGCTGATCCGTCGTCCACAAGTACGTCCAAGAAAATATCGCTGCAGCTATCCTACGGCTGCGAGCTCATTAAGCTGCCGGAGAAGAACTCTTACTCGAAAATGATGCTCGCTAATTATCGCTAATGTCGCCGGCGCAGCTGCTGCCTCGACATCTGTGCAAGGCGAAAATGAGCAAGTAGTTCCAGATTGTAGTTGGCAGGCGAAACGTCCGCGCGGGTGGGTGCGAGTCGCAGCCGCTTGTCCCGCCGCGGCAAGTCGCTCGGTCGAGGAATCCTCCGGGGGGAAGCGTAGCGATTGGGCCGGGCAAACGAGGCTGGCGTCACACCGATACACGTACGCATGGCAAATTGGCCGGTCCGAAAAACGCACACGCTCGCGCTGCATTCCAGCGCTCGTCTCGATTGATGATAATGGGCGCTTCTTCAGGCTCGTTACTCAACAAAACTGCGCTAGCTTTTTCTTTCGATTGTTGCCTGTCCCTGCCGAGTGGACGCTCTACGAGAGGTGCGTCTCTCAGCTATTTCGCCAGGCTCGTGCGTTGCCGAGGCCCAGACCGACCGAGGCGAGCTAGCGAGAGGCGCGAAATTTTTAATGGCCAAGCTGCAAAAAGTGATAAATTTATAGCTGAGGCGCAGTCAGCGGTGATTTAAGTCTGAATTCATCATGAATAATGGGCGAATTTCAGCTCGTAAAGAGAGAAAATCAAAACATGACTAGTATCTCGTCACGGGCCTCGGCGCTCGCTCCCCCGGCGGAGGCCAGCCAGCGAGAGCGAGAGCGTGCATAATAATAGCCGCGACAGGTACGACTCGACTCGGCCAACAAAAAATACGCGTCGCCGCGCGCCAAAGAGCTGTCGCGCTAGTTCCAGCCCGCCGGCGAATAATTAATAGCTTAATTTCCACCTTTCAGGAAGTCGTTGCTCACCCACACGCGCGCGCGCGCGCGCGCACAAATAGCAGCTCGCTCGATGACGAACGAGTTCTGCTCGCCACATCACACTCCGAAAAGCAGAGGTATCGAATGTCGCGCCGAGCCGTTTCTCCATTATGCTCGCGCCTCTAAAGCTCCGAGTCTTTCTCTCGCCTTCGTGAAATATATGAGCGGGCACACCTCGCCTCACCTCCAGACGTCTAATAAAAACTTTAATGTCAACGATATACGTACACGGGCCCCCTCCATCAGCCTCAATTTACGATCCAATTGCAATTTTATCTTGCCCCCACTCTCGGGCCTCCTCTCCCCCTCCTCCGCACACCAGAGGCAATTTTTCTCGGCTCGTTGCTCGACTTTGCGCGCATTGTGGCCCGAAAAAAGACCTTTAAAGAAGGAACCTCGCTCGTTCGCTCGGAATTCCGAAATTGCGGCTTGACATCGCTGCAGCCCCGCAGGCGCGCCTCGGTCACAATGCGTCCGGCGCTCGCGCACATATCAGTTTCGCCAGACTCTCTCTCTCTCTCTCTCTCTCTCTCTCTCGACAGTGAGCGAGAGAGAGGACCGCGTCTCCTATTACAGATTCATTCTTTTCCAGCTGAGAGGTATTTTGACTCTTGGCTCTCGGAATGCCAAATAGCCGCGGGCCGAGGAGAGGAAAAAGGGAGCTAAATGACTTCTCGTCAAGCGCTGCAGAGGCGAGAGACAAGGAAAAAACGTCGCCGAGACTTATTATGGTAGCCGTGCGGACAAATTGGAGGCAGGCAGACAAAAGGTCTGGCAAGTGTGCGCAGCCGGTAGCGCAAATCCGTACGGCTGGCGAGTAGCAGCGCGAAATTAAGATGTATCGCCGAATCTGGTGCGGGTAATTTGCATGTTCCGCGACGCCTACGCTGGCAGTGCGAGTCGCGGCGGCGGCGGCGGCGGCGGCGGCCCACCCGCGCGCTCGCAGCGATACTCGCTCCCCCTCGCTCGATGCAAAAACCGTCCCGTCTTATCCGCACTAAATGCGATATATAGCCTGGTTCTGTCGCCTGCAACGTCCGCCTCATTGTGTCGCGTTAAGCGCGCTCGCGGATAAGCGCGCGCCAGGCAGCGCCCGCTCAGCCGGATTTCAGATGTGGCTGTTTGTATGATAATTTGCGCCGAGTAAGACGTTTCTGCTCAGCGATACACGCGATTAAATCTACATAAGCAGCCAGCCACTCTTTCGCAACTTTATGCTGCCAATTTGAGTTGTAATCAGCCGAAGCACGCAGCTCGTAACCACGGCGCGCTTCGGGCTGCGTCGCCTCCTCGTACGCCTCCTCTTCCGCGCCCGTAGCCGTTTGTCGGCGAAAATCGGTTTGGTCGATCGGGCGCCGGCCGCCTGCGCGGAGCTCCTCCGCGCGCACGGCCGCGGCACATGCGCCTCTGCCTATAGCGGACACCTGCAGCCAAGCCTGCGTCGACACGTTGGGCTTGGCCTGCGCTTGCGCGCGGCCCTCGCCTCGACCCGGCGCCCGCGACGCGTACGCAAAGTCAAGTCAGCGGACTCGCTGTCTCCATGCCGCTCGCGCCAGTCTGACTTTGCAGTGGATCGATGCAGGCCTCTTCTCCACCCATCGATCCGCCGAGCGCGCGCTCAGCCTTGCTCGTTGCGCGCGCGGTGGCCGGCCTGCACGGCGAACATCAACGGCCAGTGGAGCGCAACAACGTGTCGCTGCTCGGTGGCCGGAGAAGCGATCCGACAGAGCGGCAGCACCGGCCAGGGCTCGGCTCGAGGAGGCCGAGCGGCAGGCGCGAGTCGCGAGTCGGCCGGCCGCGCCCAGGGCTGCGCGAAAGCTCGAGACGGCTCTCGAGCTTTCGCGCCGCGACGCCGGAAAGCTCGAGGCGCGCGTAGGCGCACACGGCCACGGGCAGTTCCGCCGGCTGAGCACCTCTTTGGCCACACACACACTCTCCTCGGTGGCTCCAATTAAGCGGGCAACATTAATTTCAAGCACCCGGCGGCCCGCGGTTATCTGCCTCCTCTCTCCCTCTATTCGCTTTCTCTGTTGCATTCGCGCTCCCCCCACCCCCTCGCTCCTCCCGGCCCTCCTCGCCGCCTGCGCTTGGCCGTGCACTTCCTCCCTGTCTGCGCTTGTCGCTCGCGCACGTGCCTTTCGTCGCGCTTTCCTTCTTGCTCTACTTTTTCTGATCGCCGCCGCCGCCGCCGCCGCCGCCGCGCGTTCCTCGTCCCCCTCGCCCTCTTTCTCGCTCTCGTTTTTTTTATTCGATAATTGCCCTGCTCCGTCCCGCCGCGCTCCATCCGTGCCGCTGTACTTTCCATACTTCTGACTCGCGCATAAACCCTCGGCGCCAGAGCCGCCTCGACCTTTTACGGCAGCTGCTTGGCCGCCTCGACCTGCATTGCTCGTCAGCGCGATCCTCGCGTGGCAGGCTGCGTCGAGCTTGCTTGAATTACCAGGCTACTGCGTTTGCCGTCGAGCGCGCCGCCACAGCGATTGCCAAACGACAGTCGGTGGCGCCTGCACTCGTCGGGCCTGGCTTTCTTGCCGTAATTACAGCCCGCGTTGATCGAGGTGACGCGCGGCGGCGGCGGCGGCGGCGACGGCGGCGACGACGAGGGAAGCACAGGCAATAAGAGAGCTAGGTCCGTGATGCACGGCTGGGAGAATTCGGACGGGTAACGGGGAGTCGGGCGCGCCGAGATGGGGTAAAGATAGTCTGCGGTATTACGCGAGCGACTGTCTGCGAGCCGATGTTTCAGGCGCGCTGACGCGTATCCGTCGCTGTCGCCGTGGCCGCCGCGAGAATTAGTGCGACTCGAGTTCTGTCAAATGACCGAATTTGCCGCTAGCTTTTGGAGCGACTTTGTCGACAAGCACTTTGGCTGAAATTAGCCAATTAGCAGGGGGCCTCTGCTCGCGCTTGAACCTCGCAGCTCGACCGGATTATTTATCGCTGCGAATACATATATAGATCCGTGGCGCTGATCTAGTTAATAGACAATGGAACACTAAATTTCCTCGTAAACATAGACTTGTTACTCGAATCCACTTATCCACTGAATCATGCATTCAATTGTTCGGTAAACAATGGCAAGTTTGCGCACCTCGGCGCATAGGTGCGCGGCGCGCAGGCGGTCGAGAAAATCGCACAAATAAATGGGGGCCACGAGAGCAGAGGCGCGCGCGCGCGCGCGCGCAGGCTGAGCCGAGCGGGCAAGATGGCGCGACTGCCGCCGCGCGAGGGCTGCAGATCCGATGGCCAGATAATGCCTGTGGCGCAGCACTCACTGGTACTGCCTCGTTAACTATCCCGACGCGATCTCCGCGAGCCGCTTGCATATACCTGGACTGCCTCTCGCCTAGCCGGCGCTGCATCCTCCTCGCAAGCGCTTCGGAATCACGCGGCCGTCGCCCGCGTCGTGGGAACGGCTGCGTGAAAGCACGCGCGACGGGCCTCTGATCGCCGACCACCTGTTCGTACGGATGGCTGCGCGAGATCGATGGAGACCGGTCGAAAGCTCGGAACGCCCTGCGCGCGTGGCGATCGATCGGCGCACGGGCCGCTCTGCGCTCGCAACTCGCAACTTGGCGCCCGGGCGCCCACGATGAAAGCGAGCTCTATACTCTCCCTATCACTCCCTATCATTCAACATCACGCATGCATCTGTTCAATGTTTAATTTCACTCGTTTGCTTTCTGTTCTCAGGACGAAGTAAGTAACGCAGCACACTCACGTAAGGATCGAGCCGAGTTCGACCGCTGTCTGTCGGTCTGCCGAGGGCTGTGTCGTTGCGGCGAACGTGAGCTTCACTTTGACTACCTCGATCTCCTGCAACCAATGCGTCCTGGCTTTTGAGAAATCACGCGGTAGAGGCCAGTTGGCGACGTCGAGCGGCGAGCTTGCGCGTGCAAGCTGCCCGCCCGATAGTTGATCCGCGGAGACTGAGCGTCGACAGCAACGGCGGCTGCGCGCAGCTAAATAAGTTAGCTTTTTACACCTGCAGGCAAGAAAGGAAGGCCGCACGAGGCTGCTCATAGGCGTGTATGGCTGCGCGCGTTCGTGGAAGCGGAGAGCGCGCGATCGCGTTTTACCGGGCGGCACAGCAAGAAGCGGCAGAGCAACGAGCAACGAGAGAAAGAGAGAGAGAGAGAGAGAGAGAGAGAGAGAGAGAGAGAGAGCGCGGTCGAGACTTTTTGTCGCTGCTCGAAGAAATTGCTAATTACGCTATGGCCGAGTGAGCGGGTACTGCAGTCACTGCCCGCGATAGCTCCCCAGTCGACAGCCAACGAATTCATTAGCGCGAGAGAGCCGCTGAATGTGCAGATTGCATCTCCGTAGCGGCGCTCGATAAAACTATTGATATTCCTGCGAGCACCTTGTACTAGTTCACTTGTCGTAAAGACCAATGGCAATAGTTTTGCTTTGTTCGCTCGGTTTCGTTGTAGATCTGTATTTATTGCACGTACGGCACAGTTTCCGAATATGTAATGAAAATTAGTGTGGTCACGTGCTTTCGCCGCTTACTCCATAGCTTCATTTCTTCGAAACTAGCTCGCTGTAGGGATGCAGGTGTACGTACGAGCGCGCATCAATGTTTGAGTAGCGCTGTCGATAGAACACTGCGCTCGTCGCACTAAAGAACCGTTGAATGATGTATAAGGAGCAGCTATGGAGACTCGCACAGACGTCGGCTCGGCGAACCAAGACTGCCTAGACTACAGACGAGCTTAAAGGATCCGCGCGCTCGGGCCAACGGACTCGTTGTTGTTTGACACTCGCTCTCGTGCCGACCGCCGTCGATCCGCGAGAAGCTCCCGATCGTTCCACGGATTTGCGCGGGGTAGGCGGTCGCGAGTGCGACGACGTGTCGCGGCGCTCCGTGGCTCGCTCTAAGCAAACAAGCGCGACAGACGTGAAACGGAACTGGCGCACTTTCTTCGCGTCAACGCTCGTTTTTGCGGAGCCGTCGGCGGCAAGGCGATTGCTCCCGGCGGAGTCTGACGTCTAACTCGGCAGCCAGCCGGCGAGAGGGGCTCGGATGGGTATTAGCGGTCGTGGCGCGTCTCGGCGTTATTGGTTTCTCGCGCGAGAGATGAGAGTTTGCCTGGCTGAGTAATTAGACTGCTGTTCGTTAGCTCAGACAAGCGAGAGCGGAACGTTCGCGACGACGATGACTCGCCGAAAGTTTGCCGACGAGTAATGCTGCCTCCCTTAATCAACGTTGCTCGCAGCTCGGCAGCTCGGCAGCTCGGCAACTCGGCAGCTCGGCAGCTCGGCAGCTCGTTCCCCGCCGCCGCCGCCGCCGCCGCCGCCGCCGCCGCGCACTAGCGGACGAGCGACGAGCTAGCCCCGAACACGCTCGCTGAGCGCACTCGAAAAGGGCCCCGCTAAAGGCGCTGCATCGTCTGTTGCAGGTCCGCGGACGAGGCGGCCGAAGCGCCCTGCCGAGCGATTGCAGCTGAGCCCCGAGGAGAAGCGGCCGCGGACGGCCTTCAGCCCGGAGCAGCTGCAGAGGTTGACCAACGAGTTCACGCTCAACAAGTATCTGACCGAGCCGAGACGCCAGTCGCTCTCGAGGGAGCTCGGCCTCAACGAGGCCCAGATCAAGATCTGGTTCCAGAACAAGCGCGCCAAGATCAAGAAGGCCAGCGGCCAGAAGAATCCGCTCGCGCTGCAGCTGATGGCCCAGGGGCTCTACAACCACTCCACGGTGCCGCTCACCAAGGAGGAGATGGAGCAGGCCGCCGAGCTGCAGGCCAAGTGAGCCTCGCCCGGGCGCGCGCGCGGTCACTGCCGGGTGCCGACAGGGCGCCTTCCAGCGGGAGCAGTGATCGCGGAGATTCCGCCGAGCACGGACGCAGCGTTGCGCGGAGCGCTCCAGGCGCGGGCGAGCAAGGCGGCCGAGCGTAGGCGCCCCCAGCCCCATCGTGGCTCCGTAAACTTATTGTACAGTATAATGTAAAATAGCACTGCGCGGCCAGACAGCGAGGAGAGGTAATTGCGATGTGCAATAGAACTTTATAAATATGTGTAGTTAAAGATATATAGCTGGAGCTCGGTCGCTCGCGCGCCGACGCGGAGCCGACGCGGAGCCGACGCGGAGCCGACGCGCAGCCGACGCGCAGCCGACGCACAGCCGACGCGTCCTTGTCTAAGATAATCGACGATAATCGACCTGTACATATAAATACATCAGTCGTCTGGTGTAATTGCTTATAGACTGTTCAAGATAATTTAGTTATTTATTTATCGATTATAAATAATGAAGCGCGCGGCCGCGAACTACTGCTGCGCGCACGCGCACCTGATAGAATGAGCGTGGACGATGCGCAGCATAAAGCAACACTCGAGAAGATATGTACGCGTGCGTGCGCAACGATGAGGCAGAGCAAAACCGTGATGATTAAATATTCCCAATATGAGAAAGGTAAACTGAGCTATAACTTTATTGACTGACCCTTTCCCTCGCGAACATCATGCCAGTCCGCAGAGTATACAGCAGTTGGCGAGTAATTGGAGCGTAGAGCTGCACCGGCCCGTTCCAGAGTAAGTATGAATTATTGAGCTGGCTGCGCGCTCGCGGAGGTGAGTATATGCGCAACAAAGACGGCAAATCCAGCGGCGATAATTGCCCCGAGGCAGCGGCAGGGCAAGAGCCGCGCGAGGCGCGAGGCGCGAGGCGAGAGGTAAAGGCATAGCGCGCGCGGGGCGGGTCGATCGGATCGGCCGTATTGGGTGTCGGCGCATGCCCAGCAGAGAGGCGCAGTTGCGCGCTCTCCCCCTCGTGATATCAATTGATTTACAGCGGAAAGGTGGCCATCGCTGATATCAAGCCGCGGCCACGCCCACGCCCGCGCCGCCGCCGCCACCGCCGCCGCCGTGACGCGCTCGACGCCACGCTGCCTAACGCTTATCGGCTCGCCTCGCCTCGCCTCGCCTCGCCTCGCCTCCCCACGCCGCGCTTCACCCGCGCAACCATCGCATAACCATAAGCATCGGCACCTTGCTTACTGTTGTCGATGTCAGCCAGCCTCGACCCCGGCCTCTGTCGCTGCGTTTACGGCTGCGCCTACGCGGCATCGCCAACATCGAATCCTTATCGGCTTTATTGCTTAATGAACGCGCGCGCCACCAGCTCGCCCCTTGATTTATCGATTTTCTTTCGCCTTCGAGCCTTCGCAACTCGACCGCCGGCAACTCTTTGTGCTTAGCTCCACACGCCTTGCCGCGCGTCCTTCTGATTCTCCGACTCGCTCGCTCTTCTACGCGCTTTTCAACCTTTCTAATCGTGCCCTCCTATCGCCAACTTCTTCATCCTCTCCACGCTTTCTTTTCCATGCAAACATTTTACGCTTTTAATTGCTTCATTACTCATCGCCTCATTGCCTGCTGTTCTCTTTGCTAGCCTTATAAAGTCTTTTATTCCGCTAGCGTTTTCTATTTGTTTTATTGACCACGCATCAACAATGAAAGGACCAATAGGTAACTGATTCCGACAATTCATAACTAAATCGTGCCGATTCGTTTCGATATCGTTTCGACGCAAAACAAACTTCATTTCTTTTAATCTGGCCATCAAATCAATACTACAAGGACTTTTTTCCCGAACATTTTTATTAATACGATGTTTGATCGCATAATAGAAAATAACGTCAAGAGCAATTAAACCTAGAGAAACTTTGATATAATGTGACTGTTGTATATCAAAAAGATGTTTCGCTATGCCATAGAAAAGAACGTCGTGCATAAGCCAGTAGCTTCTCCAATAATAATAATTAATGAATAAGCTTTCGTTATATAGTGCTGTATACCTTTCTTAATTTCAGTCATATATACATCAATCAGATTTGTTGGCATAGCTTATGTTTTAGATTTCTTTTAGTCATTCATTAATACTAAATAATACAGCGATGTAATTATCAATTTTTGTTATAACGTTGCATTCGCTCTCGCACTACCTTTCATATCATATACTTTTATGATTCCTTGCATGCACAACACATCAGATCATCAATCATCAATTTTCATTTTTTACAATATCTTATTTTTTCGTATTTCACATTTCATGAAAATATATTACATTGAAGATTACATTACTCTTTCGTATAAATTAGTTACTCATAGAATTCGCGATTTTTATAAATTTAACACACTTGTTTTCACCATATAAGACTTTCTTTACCGCGGCTACGTTGTTTAAGAACAACTTTTTTTATATAATTCATGGTTTTAATTGAAATTCAATTACTGAAGATACATAACTGCGATTCTATTTGCTCAAGATATTCATGAAAAGGCTTGATAATTTTTTAATCTAGATAGTCGCGTAATAATTTTCAATGTTTGAAATAAGAAATAATGAGACAGCTATAAAATTTCACAATTATAATAAAATGAAAAAATATTTTCAAACTAACTTATAGAAATCGTTGATTACGTAAATCCTTTTCAATAAAATTTTCTAAATATTATTTTCGATCTTCACTTGGTAAAATCGAACACAAGAAGTCTTTATGAGAATGGTTTTCCGAGTAGAAATGCAATTATTGCCGGCAACAAATAAAATAATTTCCTGGTGCTTTTCGAGATATTAATGGATCAAAATATAGAAAAATAAATGTATGTAAGAATACTTCATGGTGAAATATTGGACATGCAAGTGTTACAGTAAAGTGTGTGAACCCAATGTGAGATTTTGATCGCATTTCTATGTACATTCTCTGCAGCCCGTACGGCGCTGTTACATTATAGCTCTATTATTATGACTATTATGAGAATTTTAAAGAGCTTAATAATGCGCGAAATTGGTTTTGGATATTCAGAAAAGCGAAACTCTTGATTTTTCGAATTTTCTTCAGCTGAATATGTCTCATACAAGCTATCCAAATATTTTAAAGACTAAATTATCCGCATAACGTTACATAAATTAAATATTTCTAGGTAGTTTGCTGGACTAAAAATATATGTAATAGCTGTTGATACTGAATCTCGTTTATTTATATCACGTATCATTTAAAATACAAACAATCTCTATATAATTTCAAATTTCCAATTTTATCACAATCGACTAAATGTGAAAAAGTTATTGCAATAAGTTCAAAAAATTTTTAGATACATCTACTATAACGTTTTTGTTGCTTTATTGGTTTAGATCACTGGAAGAAAACAAAATAAGAAAATGAGTACTGCTAAATTATAACATAATCAAATTTTAGTATGTCTCTCAGCCATTACAAATTTTTCGTCACATTTTAATTTTCGTCAAGTGTACACCCTTCTCCTCCCCTAATCGCTGGAAATTTTTTAATGTCTACGTTGGACAGAGTGAGTTATAGGACTAAATTAGATGCTTGGACAGTTCGGTAACTCCGTGAGCTTCAAAACCGGTTGTTGAAAAATTGTCAAATTTATCATCATAAGACTTTTTATTATTTGCACTTATAGAATATTTACACGTACATAGGAAATAACAAATAATATCCAATGGTATTATATCGGCAGCACTCAGCTGGGTTTCTTGAGACGTCCATAAACAAATTTTGTTTGAATTCATTGGAGAAAATATATTGCTAATGTAATTAGTAGCTCATTGCATTGCTTGGTATTTTACTTTCACTTGATGTTAGCTGTCATTCATGGAAATTCCACAACAATTTATCTCTTTTAACTTGCACTTGTATGGACTTCTTAGATGCGAATACACTGTAGCATAAAAAAATTAACAATAAGTTGGTAATAAAACTTTAAAAGTTATGTTTATGGATAAAGTAATGTTTACATTCGAAAAAATCGTGATGCAAGTAAAACTTATCTCAATCAAGCGAGATATTCGAGGAATGAGTCAAGCGTGAACAAATAAATTGTTTTCTTGATGATTACCTTGCATTACTCACCTATACTTTTTCAGAGAGGTTCACGCATAATATAACGGTTTTGATTTTCACCGGAGTAATTGGCTTAATTCTTCAGGGATTCATACGGGAACTATTGCCTGTTCTCAAAACTCAGTCAACTTATGTGTGGCTAACATGAATGCTGAATTTTTTCAAGTTATTTCAATCAATTTATATCAATCTTTTAACACTCACAGGATATAATTGCGATTTCTATATTTTAATGATGGCCATTAAACTAATTAAACAAAAGTAATTCGGAAATTACTGTATCTTATGTTTTTGACGACATTCTTTACATTGGTGATGGCGTGAAGTTAATAAAAAAAAGTTTTGTCATGCAAAAATTGGAAATAAGAAAGCATCATTTTGCAATACGATTTTTTTAACATGACTTTTTGTTCCTTACATATTTTTTACGCGTCTAAAAACTATTTGAATCGTTGCCTCAATACCTAAATTAAAAATATATATGTTTTGTTTGATCCGAATAATTTTTTATTAAATAAATAGGTGATGAAAGTATGAATTGTTTTTCATACATGACAATTTTTATTTTCAAAAACTATAAATTGTTAGAAAAATAATTTTGTATCCTATGTTAATGGATTAACCCAGTGGTTCAATAAAACCAAAGCATATCCGCAACAAATCAACTAACAACCAAAGTTAAAATTTATTATTTTGCTAATTGTATAGTTTTTTAATACAAGCGAAGTTTCTATATCACAAAATTTACTTTTATAAGCGTATGTGTATCGCGTTCCATGTGACATGTCGAAGTTTGCAATGTTAGATACGACCTTAAACTTTGGAAGTGGCTTTTGCCAATCTTCGCTGGAGGTATCCTTTTATTTCTTACACTTTATTTGATAAAACTTTACCAATCACTCATATGGCTACGTTGCGAAAAAAATCATAAAAAGTTTCTTGTAATGATTTTAATGTAAATTTGGAGTGATCAAAGAATAGTTGGGAAAATCATAAAACTACGTTGATAGAAATGAACGCTACCTTATTATACAGTTATATGCGTCAGTTTAATGAAAAATATTTTTTATAAAGATGGGTAACATAATATAAAAATGAAAAATGGTCGAGCAGATTAGAGAATCGTTTGAAGCGGCAGCTCCAGGTGATAAATGCTCATTCTGTATCAACGAATCAACGGCAACAAGTCTTTTGCAGCCGTGAAGAATGTAAAAAGAATGAATGTGTATGAGAGTAAGTTAAGAATGCTGGAGCAAGGAAAAACGTGGTATGCATATTTCGTCCGCCTACGGGCCGGGGAGAGGGAAGGATGAAGGGAGGGAACAAATAAGAAGTCGCTGGTCAAAAATGCATTATTAATAGGTAGTATTAAATTACGAGATAATCAACATGGGAGCAGAGAGGAAGGGACACTCAATCCTCATGAGGTCGCTTCTCGTCGTGTCCGAGAGTGAAGCTTCCGCCTCCCCCCCCCCCCCTCTCAGGCCAGTCGAGTCAGCCGGGCTAGTGCTTCTACTCTTTAGAAGAATGTCTGCTC